AAAACTAAATACTCTTCGGCGATATGAAGGATGCAATACTACTATATAGGTACTCAAGATTAACATGAGATTGGCGAAAATGTGTGTATGTCCCCTTTAATATTAACATGAATTTAAAATGAATCTTATTCACATTCTTAATACACATTCCTGAATTCCAAAGAAAAACGTTTTTTTTTTTTTTTTAGTTTTGCAATTTTTAATTGAAATGCATTAACGCTTCCTCTCAAACACTGTAAAATCCCAAATGATGCTTGATGGATGTGTTTTGTACCTGCTGTAAATGGGCAAGCACCAACACTTCTTCTGGTCTCCGAACACCTGGGTGACATTCTTGCGGAAGCCCAGAGTGAAGCCATTTTTATCTGGGCCATTTCTGAACACCGGTGCCCTGAACGCCTCTGAACAGATGAATGAGAGATTAGGATGAGGTCTGTTCCTGCTCTACACAACACAAATGACATCCTTAACTTTAGAACAACCTTTGCGAGGTGCATCAAAACTGCATTGAAGGGCACAGAAAAGTTTTTTTTTCCCTTCTTTTCCTCTTGAAGTTTGACCTAAATATTGTTCATAAGCACACCCACAATCCACCCCCACATTCATTTACATTTTACTTCTATCAGCAAAGTTTTATTTGACTGAACATGTGACTGCAGTTTCCCTCAGTAAGAAATGATCAAAAATAGGTCACAATATGGAGCGAAGAAAAAGGAGGACTAGAAGAACAAAGAGTGACGGAAAAGGAAATATGAACCTGGACTGAAATTCTTTGAGGATGTAATCAGAATCTAAAGGATTTCTAAAAAAAAAAGGAGAATAAGGAGCAAAATAAATAACATTTTAACAGTTGGGAGATTAATTAAACTTTAAAGAAATTATGAGGAGAAAGAGGAGGAAAGGAAGGAGAAGAAAGAGAAGTAGAAGAATAAGGAGACAGAGGAATAAAAGGAGGAGAAGAAGGTAACAACTACAACAACAATTTCAACAGCTGGAGAATAATTAAGTCAAAAAAAGATGATAAAAAGGTGAAGGAAAAGGAGGAGATGAAAAAGCAAGAAACAGCAGCAACAACATTTAAGCAGTTGGAAATTAATTACAAAGCTTATGAAAAAGCAGCAGCAAGTATTAACAACATCTTACCTATAGTGGTTCTGTTTTTTCCCACGAGCCACAGGTGGTAGCTGAAGAGTGACAGGATGCTGATGAAGAACATGGCCGCCACAAAGAACAGGAACAACACGTGGAACTTTGCATGAGTGTCTGGCAAGTGATTCTGTTGAGCAAGAAAGCAGAACATGAGAGAATGACAAAAAAAAAAAAAAGTGTTTTTTGGAGATACATTCATCAAATATACCAGTGTAGTTTGAAGAGCACTACTAAGGCATATTTAGGCAAGACCCTTGCTCACTGGGCCATTTGTAAGGCTGCTCTAAAAAGCACTTTACAAATAAACTGAATTGACAGCTGATTTCTTTAAAGGTGAAGTGCGTAATTTCTGTACCACTAGCATCGCCACACAAAGTGAAAAAGCGTTTCCCAGACACTTTCCCATTTGCGATTTCCCCAAAGCATTGGGGGGGGAAAAAATCCCACCCCAAACTCACACCACTGGTTGAGCCAGTGCTGCTGTCAAACTAGAATAGAAAAAAATTACACACATTACCTTTAATATCGTCAGATGTCCAAATTTATTTAATGGCATCAGATGTAGTTGTAGAGCTCAAGAAGACCTCTAGATCTAACAGCCTCAACACTACAATCCATGTCTGGTAAGAACTGGCTGCTGTACCACTAAGAAGCATCTGTATATTTTAATATGCTAAACTACACTCTTTATTGCAACTCTGCTGTTTATTTTAATCAGTAAAAGAAAAAGCAAAATGAGTCAACAGTGCAACATCAAACCATCGCCCAGAGTCACAACAGTGCAAAGCAAGCGTGAGTGGTTTACCTCCGGGCAACGCTCTATAGCCCTCCGTCTGCAAAGCTTCAGACAAAGTGTTAAAAACACAGATAGAATGTTAGAAGCAGACTCATCCCTTTTTTCTTCCTTCTTTCTGCGTCTCAAAAAACTGACACGCACACACAAAGATCATTGCACGACATAAAATGTTTTAGTAAAAATATATGGAGGAAAATATATAGTGTTATATTGATGTATATAAATGAAAAAAACAGCATCCACTGCAACACAAAAGCTTGGTTTTGGTATGATTTTTAATGTTTTTGAAAGAAGTCTCTTACGGAAGTCTCTTAAATCACCAAAGCTGCTTATTTTATATAAAAATTGTAATTCAAAATACAGTAAAAACAGCAATATTGTAAAATATTATTACTATTTTAAAAACTGCTTTTTATTTTGATTTATTTTTAAATATAATTTATTCCTGTGATGGCAAAGCTGAATTTTCAGCATCATTACGCCAGTCTTTAGTGTTACATGATCCTTTGGAAATCATTAAAATATGCTAAAACAGTTGTGCTGCTTAATATTTTTGTGGAAATTGTAATAGTCACCCCCCCCACAGGATTCTTAAAAAAAAAATAGAACATTTTATTTGAAACAGATATCTGCAGGCTATCTTTTTGCTTATTAAAATAATTGAAACTCAATTCAATATTTATATTTATTTATTTAGTGTGTAGCCTTGTAATAAGCAGGATAAAATGAGCTAAATCCTAATCTCCCTATTGGGGTTTATTTTGTGATAATGACCATCTGACTATACATTAGCCTTCACATAATTCTTTAGACTATCTGCAATTTATATTGATGCAGACAGGAAAACAGATTAATGGAAAAACAAGCTGAAGTTGGCTCTCTGAAATAGCAGAAGATGAGAAGCGAGAAGTGTGAGAAACGAGAGGAATCAGATGTCTTTGTGTGAATGTGTGGACTTACTGTCCAGAACTTGATAAAGTACTGCAAAACTGTGGCAGCGATGTAGACGCAGTACAGCATAGAGTACGCCAGGAACAGCACAAATAATTTATAGTTGGAGAATCCAACACAGTTATTAACCCTGGAAGAAAACAGAGAGAAAAACAGAGTTATAAGCCACATAGTAGCTAAAGCACCTAAGTGATAGAATATGTGGCAACATAACTTCAGATTATAAGATGAATGCATCCACAGATGTGCGTACCATGGACAGTGGTGATCCATTTTCAGCACGCATCTGGGAAAAATAAAAAGGATCAAAATACATATTGTGCAAATCCAATACAGACAAGATAAGAATGTTTTCTGAGTGGACTCACCTGTCACATGTGGAGCAGTGATGACATCTGTCCGGTTTGATCAACTGACAGCGGTCACAGTACCGGATAGCTGAGGAGGGCAGAGGACTCATTCAAAATTCTGAACAGTGTGTCACAGGTATAGGATACATACACAACCATTCAAATGTTTGGGGTCAGTATAATGTTTTTTATAGAAAATTGAATTAATTCTTTTATTCAGCAATGATGCATTAAATTGATCAAAAGTGACAGTAAAGACTTTCACATTGTTGCAGAAAAAATAAATAATAAAATTATATTTCAGAATTTGCTGGTATAATTCAGAATTCATTGTTCCATCAATGATGGCAAGCCGTCCTGGACCAGATGCAGCAAATCAGGCCCAAACCATGATACTACCACCACCGTGTTTCACAGATGGGATGAGGTTCTTATGCTGGAATGCAGTGTTTTCTTTCTCCAAACATAACGCTTCACATTTAAACCAAAATGTTCTATTTTGGTCTCATCCATCCACAATACATTTCTCCAGTATTCCTCTGGCTTGTCCACATGATCTTTAGCAAATTGCAGATGGGCAGAGATTCACATACTTTTGCCACTCACAGATATGTAATATTGGATCATTTTCCTGAATAAATAAATGACAAAGTAGATATTTTCATCTCATTTGTTTGATTGGGTCCTTTTTGTCAACTTTCAGGACTTGCATGAAAATCTGTTGATTTTTTGGGTTATATTTATGCAGAAATATAGACAATTCTAAAGGGTTCACAAACTAGCAGCACTATATATAGCATATTATATATATTTTTTTATTTATTTTTTTCCCCCAAATTAACACTGTTCTTTTGAACTTTCTATTCATCAAAGAATCCTGTGAAAAAATTATCACAGCTTCAAAAAAATATTAAGCTGCACAACTGTTTTCAACAATGCCAACTATTGAAGAAAATGTGTCTAGAGCAGCATATTGGAATGATTTCTGGAGGATCATGTGACACTGAAGACTGGAGTAATTATGCTGAAAATTCAGCTTTGCATTACAGAAATAATTTGTATTTTAAAGTATATTAAAATAGAAAACAGTTATTTTAAATTGTAATAATATTTCACCATATTACAGTTTTTATTCTATTTTTGATCAAATAAATGCAGCTTTGTGATGATTGACTTTCAGAAACATTAACAAAATCTTAACCGACCTCAAACTGTTGAACTGTACCAGCACATCAGTGATCAGCAGACAGCCCTGTCACTTTAATCAGTCTAAATAAGCTCTTTTTGCACTACAAATCATTATATCTGCACTGTTGTTTACTTCACTGGTTTGCACTCTATCTGCCATGTGCCGTGTGCTGCTTTATATATATTTTTTTTATATATATTTTTTTTTTACATTTTACCTTATTTGTATATTTGTATAGTTGTATTTTATATTTAATCTGTATATCTGTATTTATGTTCTACTGTTAGTGTTATCTGTATGCACCAAGGGTCTGAGAGTAACGCAATTTCAATTCTCTGTGTGTATGTGCTGTACATGTGGAAGAATTGACAATAAAGCAGACTTGACTTGAACTGTTGAATGGTAGTGTATAAGACAAAGACAACAAATCACAATTCAGTATGCAAAAAGATAGTTCAAAAGTCTGACATTGCTAGTAACAATTTTTTATCATTTAATGCTTTTTATATTACATATGTTTTCACCGTAACAGTAAAAAGTTGATGCAAACTTTAAATGACACATTTTTAGTTCTAAGTTTTAAATATACTCTCAAAAGGTACCTAAAAGTATTAGTGGCTGATAAACTGTATCGCCTGTAACGCCGTCATCGTTAACAGTTCTGTCTAATACGGATAGAAGTCTCTCTAATAATCCGATAGACCTGTTAAAAAAAGGAATTAAAATGTATACAAAAAGTATTATAACGATTGCTTTTATATGATTAGTAATAGAAAGGCAAACATTATACTTTCTCGTTTGCTGTCAGCATTCAGCAAATACGCATTTATATCATTTAAACAAATCTTTGAATGACTAATGAACATTTAATTTTACAAACCTTGCAGACTTAGTCGAATCCAGTTGTGAGATCTTGTGAAGTGTGCATGTGACCTGCATGATCGCGTGTTCTCTGCGTGACTTTCGGTCCGTGCAAAGTGAATGCTTTAAACATTAAATTCGTGGTTTCCAATTATGCTGCACTTTATGCATTTGCCCACTGTCATCTTCATGTCATTTTCTCTGTGTGCTGTATGTAAAATGAGTGTTACCTTGGCTTTATTTGAAAAAACAATTTTATCCAGGACGGTCGGTCCGTGTGAATTGAATGCTTTAAACTTTAAACTTGTGATTTCAAATTATGTTGCACTTTATGCATTTGCGCACTGTCATATTCATGTCATTTTCACTGTGTGCTGTATGTAAAATAAGTGTTACCTTGGCTTTATTTTAAAAAATATGAGTCCCAATGCACACAAACTTCCCAGAATACTGAGTGCTCTGTTGGTTACAGTTTACTTCCTTTTTAATTATATTTTTATTAAATATTTATTTGTGAAAAATACTTTGTCATCTAAAGTATAAGTATGTTTATTTTACAAATTTATTTTTTAATCCATTTTCAAATGATTTCAAATTTCTTAAATATTAATTAAAATAAATACAATTATATCTGCTTTATATCGGCCATTCTGCTTTCCAAGATATCGGCATCGGCTGTCAAAAAACCCATATCGGTCGAACACTAGTGGCTGGGGCCGAATTAACTGCAGAACATTATAAAAAAAGAAGTATGAGGGACTTCAATGCCATTGTAAGTTTTTAAGCTTACCCCCAGATCCTGTGCATGTATATATGAATACATTTCTGGCCACTCTCTTCAGGATTTCCTGCTGGGCCTCTGGATTCTCCTCCTTCTCATAGAGCTCTTTGTCCACTTTAGGGAGACAGAACTAAGAGAGACAACAGGATGTTAGATGGAGATGTGTGTGAGAATAGACTAATATGAATCAGCATACGCAACTAAAATCAAGCAGACATTTAAATTTTTAACAAAAACACTTTAATATAATTTTTGCCATCTTTATTGACAAGATGATAGAGACATGACAAGAAATTATGTGAGCCGGACTTGCACTGTCCAAATCAGCTCAGTGTGTTTGAGAATGTGTGCTAACTGCTAAGCCATGACTCACATCCCACAGGCAGTTCAAAACGTCAAATTATTTTTTTCTTACATCCTTCTTCCTCTTCTCTGTCATTATATTCTGCGGTAATAAAACTACAGAGCAGCCAGAGTTTAAAGGCTCCCGCTGCTTCTGCTCCTCCTCCAGATGTGAGGAACATTACTGAGCCTGGAGCCAACCACATACACATTACAGTATGATAAATATTTTGCTCCCACACAGCCCAGGTGGAATGAGAACCTGAGAGCCAAGTAATAAGGAAGAAACCCTTAACCAGATCTAGACCAGTGCAGTGCTGTTTAGTAGAATTTACATAGTAGCATAGTATTTATTTTGTCTTTTTTTATATTTTCAGTTTTTTTAATTTTAGTTTGAGTTTTAATATTTTTTTTATTATTATTCTATTTAGCTTTAATTTATTTACAATTTCCGTTTTAGTAATTTTAGTACTTCGAATTAAACTTTTGTATATCCGCTAGCTGCCAAAGCAATTTTTTTTTTTTACTTCATCATTCAATATTTATATTTGAGTTTTAGTTAACAATAACAACAACGGACTACTGAATCTCAACATGTCTGTTCTGATGTCTGTCAGTGTCACTAATAAGAGGAAAATCATCCGTCAGCAATTTAAGATGGAAAAATGAATAGGTGTATCTATTAATTAATCTGTGACTTGGTAGGAGTTAGACAGATGGCAACATGGAGAGGTTGTACAACTTGCCCACATTCTCAAAACCAGCAACAGAACTAGATTGGGTCACCACTTGTTCTCTAACGCAAGATCTGGGCTCTGAGGCAAAACCTAGACAGTAAATAAAGGAACAAAAACGGAGAGAAATAGCGAGAACGAATACCTCTTTTGAGGGGCTGGCAGGCTTGGAAATGATGGTCTTCCAGTAGGACCATATGAACATGAAGAAAAAGACGTGAAACACTAACAGATAAATAACTGCAAGAAAAACAGCATGAGGGAATTTTAGTAAAACAAATCATAATTCATACTTACTTGATAACCTAATAAAAGCTGCTACTTCATAATATAAATGGGATGTTTTGTTCATTCTGGTGTGACAAAACATGTGACTAAGAACAACAGGAGGCCAGATTAGCCAACAGAAGGATTTGTTAACTGTTTTTGCAATATTGTGTGCTTGGCTACACTGGAGTTCCTCTTACCTTGCTCCTCTGTGTTGGAGATTGTGTCTGCAGAGAGAAACAAGCAAAGATCATTCAGCAATACCATCAAGAAAGAACAACTGGCCCAATTCACAAAGTCATCTGCTGAGTGCTGGGATACCGCTAATTCTATCTCAGCACCCTTCCAGTTTCCACCAGATCAGCCCACTAAGGCAAGAGCGCCGGGCGACTGGTACTGCCATCTGGCAGAGAGCTGTCAGAAAGAGCCTTGTGTCCATCATGGATGGAATACCCTGGTTGTCATGACGACTCAAGTGACTGACAGATGCATGTCGCGACGGCAGAGTCAGTGAAATCTCTGACAGTAGGAGTCATTTTTTAAAAGAAATTTTTTTTATTAGTTACATTTTTATTTTCATTAAACATTCATTTTTATTTTATTAAATATTTAAAAAAATGTTTAAATATTTTTTTAATAATATTTTATGAGAATGTCATTGGGGTTACAACCCTTGCTTCATTTGTGAAATTAAATGCGAAACAGAAGAAAACAGCAAAAGCTGATTTGAGATTTTACTTGCTACTCTCACTTGCTTATTAATTAACTATTTATTTTCATTAACTACAATTATTTTATTAAATATTGTAATAAATTAAATATTTTAATTTCTAAAAAGTACTTTCAAAGTCAAACTACGAAGGTTGCTTAAATGTGTACACCACATTTAAAGTCTATTCACTTTCCTTCATTTTTTTTTCAACTTGGTTAATTTATCTCTCACTGGTGTTACAGTTTATTAATCTATGATTTATCACTGCTTAAATTAATATTTTATGAGAGTTTGTCATTGATGTCACAACTCTTGTTTCATCTGTTAAATAAAATAAAAAACAGAAAAAAAATAAAGTTAATTTGAGATTTTCCCTGCAACTCTCATGCAGTCATGAGGCTATCACATCAGATTTGAGACTCTGATTTGAGACAGATTTGAGGGGGGGGTGGTAAATCAATAAGGAAGGATTCACAATATATCACTGCACTTTACTAGGGAAATAAATGGACCCCAACACAACACAATGAAATTAGTATTTTTAGAAACAGATGAAGTAATACATGGGTGGAACTACAGTGAGTGTAGAGCTCACTGTGAAGTGGTTAACAACAGCTGAAGTTAAAGACTTCAGCAGCACAGATGTGTGCAGTCATTCATGTTTCACACTTTTATATAAAAAATAATAATAATCCCTTTTAGCTTTGTTCGCTTAAATGGAAATTTTACCCATAAAATGCAAAAATGCTAAAAAAAAAAATTAATAAATAAATAAATAAATCATTTAGGGTAAATTATCCCAAACTTAAGATAATCCTGCAGTGGGACAATGGAATTTTGAAAAGCATAAATATTCCATATTTATTTAATCAAGTAATGAGATGATCAGCATATACGATAATTATACATTTTCAATACAGGACAAAAAAGGAAGTATAGCATATCCCACTAAATGACACTGCTTGACATGAACAACTACTTATGTGACTAATGAAGAACAAAACAGTTTATTAGTCAGAAATTTTCATGACAAGACATACTTTGCGGTCTAATTAAGACAACGTTAATAAGAGAACGTTCTTTTCAGTAAGAAAGCATCTCTAATCTGCTCTTTAAGTATCAAGCATCTCGATGAGTTTAACAGCTGGACTTATCGCTCGAACTTGAACTAACGCTGCATACAATAACTGATATCAAAACACAACTTTATAAACAATTCATGACATTCGACATGAATTACGCACGGGTAGTATACAGAGAAACTGAATTGAATTTCGGTAACGTTACATTATCTGGTACCAGTCAGTTACTGACACTTCCTGCCCAAACCACTGCAACAACTAACCAGCAACTTTTATCTGCTGTGCTCCATTCAACCAAGTCAACTTAGGTCGACACTTACATATACAGAGCTCCACCACGTAAGCGTAGTAGGACCAGCACACGACCAGGTTGATAAAAATCACAGGTATCCAGGATAAACCCCGCTGACAGCATTTTACCGCATGAAAGGGCGCCATCTTTAATCCGACCCTCGGAAAGGGTGTCGGTGACGTCACGGCTCGAGGCCGATCTATGCGCGCGGGGAAAAACAAAGACCTGCTTCACACCAGCAGCACATTAATTCCACATTATCGGACAACTGCTCTCCAATGTGTCCTTTTTAAATTAATAATACAATAAACGCAGAGTTTCATTCTGATATGTAGTTATGTGTTTGTCTTATTATGCTATAAATGAGCCTTAAAGGAACAGTACGCTCAAATTTAAATCAGCGTTCATCTTTGCCATTCTGCCTTGCATCTTATCGGACCTTACATTATTTTATTTCCAATCTTATAGTTATAATAAATTAATAATGTTTATTTTGTTTATATATATTTTAATGTTTCTTTTTTTAATATTGTAAAGTATGTTCCATGCTGATTTGTATTTTTTATGTTCAGAAGGAAATTTATGTTAATAAATAGTTATCTATAAACTAAAAGCTTTTTTTCTCAAATGTAAAATATACTGTATATGGATGTATTTTCTTGGATTGAAATATGTGAAAGGCTAAATATATTTTTATATATATTTTTCAAAAATATTAGTTGAAAATACATTTACATATAATTTGAAATATACTTCAGCAAATGTATTGTTTTAAATAATTTCTAAACATGTTTAAGTCAAACCAAGTCAAAGGTCAAAGTGCTTACGGCCGTTTAAATGTGCACGCCATATTGAAAGTTTATTAATATGCTTTTGTTTTTTTCCACTTTTATTTGATCATTTACACGTCATTGTTGTTACATTCTGGTGTTATTTTGTTAATCTATGATCTATTGCTATTTAAATGTATATTTTATGAGAATTTGTCATCGGTGTTACAACTATTGTTTTATTCGTGAAATAAAATAAGCAGAACAAAACAGCAAAAGTTCATTTGATATTTCACTTGCAACTTGGCAGTACGTCGGCAGAGGGCAGCAGCGCAGTAGTTTAAGCGTCACTACTGTTGATCTCCCATTGAAACAGTGGGGGGGGGGATCAATGTTACAGTCTGGATGGATTTGAATCATCCAGCTAGGTTTTTTCTAGTTAATGACTTAGACTGGAAGTCTCAAATGTCACCATCAATGTGGTACTTTTCATTTGTGCATAATTTGATTAATCTTCAGTTTGCTAGCTTGGTGGGCCGAATGGTAAGTCGGTTTATTTGTGAGATTTATTAGATTCGTTTTCCACCTCGAGCCCTGTCCTGCGGGGGAATTGCAGTATTGTTTCCAGATGTGTTTCATTTCATGAACAGCCCCCTCTGGTCCTCTCTCTCCATCTCTGCTCTTTTCCTCGGGAGGTTTCAGAAGGTTCATCAGAGGACCAACAACACATGAAACAAAGAACAAATTGTCTGTTCATGCACTTACGTGTGATAAGGAGATCTTGTGCTGGGCCTGATTTAGATCTCTTGCTTTTGATAAAACACACACACACACACACACACACACACACACACAGCCTCCCTCTCTTTACACTCTGCGCTGTAAGTGTTGATATAATGAGTCCCTTTTGTAAGCCTATTAGCTTACAAACTTATATACAGTACAGATTCATTTCAAATGATTAAAAGCAGTCTTGAGACTGCATATTAATGTTATTGAGTGTTTATATTTACACACCTGACTGATCAACACATTCTCACTCCCAACTTGTCAAATATTGACACTATATTCAGAATCAGAAGTAGTCTTCTGATGTCTGATTTTGTAGCTGAACCAAACCAGACAGTTACTGAAGTGCACAGGACAGACTCAATGACGGCTGAGTAGAACTGCTTCAGCAGATATTGGGCCTTTTTATGAAATATAAACTCACTCTCAGTGAGAAATTCTCACTCTCACTTGTCTAAATTAACCTTCTTGCACTGGGTGTGATTTTTTATACAGGCTACTGATCACATTTTTTGCAAAGACGATGGAGCACAGCAGAAACGTGCTGCTACAGTTGGCATGAACTGAAAAATCACCCTGAAAGCATTTTCTAAATGCACATTTTTTATCTTATTGTGAATGCTCCATCCATTGACTTATTAATTTTTATTGAAAGAATAGTTCACCCAAAAATGATCATCACCAGTGGACCCTCTGCAGTGAATGGGTGCCATCAGAGCTAGAGTTCAAACAGCTGATAAAAGCATGACTCCAGTCATCACTTAATGTCATTTGAAAAGCTGTTTGCTTCCATTGCTTCCAGCTAAAATACCAGTCCTCTATCCATACTATTGCTTTCTCCATTGAAAAAGTTGTCTTGCACAGATTAAGCACTGATTACATGTGGATTATTGATGTTTTTATCAGCAGTTTGGACTCTCATTCTGACGGCACCCATTCACTGCAGAGGATCCAATGGTATGCAAGTGATATAATGCTAAATTTCTTCAAATCTGTTCCGATAAACAAACAAACTCATCTGTATCTTGGATGGCCATGGCAGGTGAGTTCATTTTCAGGAAATTTTAATTTTTGGGTGAACTATTACTGTAAAAATGTCATATCTGTATCTTCCAATAAAATGACAGACTTCTCTCTGGTAACATATATTCTCTAGTCATTTTTGGCCACTTAAACCATGGCATTTAGATCTGCCTTCATCCAATCAACAAACGACAGATAGAACCAAGTCCCCATCCTACATTTTTTTTTCTTATTCTATAATATGTTTCACTCTGATGTGTCACAATACAGATGATTTGCAATTTAATGATTTTTGAGGCTCCTCTAATATGTAGGAGAAAAATTAACTTGACTTGAACTGAATTGACAAATGTTTTAAGAGGTGGCACATTCGTGGGTGGTTTATCTCTTCCAACATTTGTTCTAGCCAATCACTCTTTTTTTCATAACTATTTGTGTGCTTGTGTGTCTCAGCACAGAGTAATGTGTTGTTCTGTCTGGCGAGTCGCCCCTGTTTAGTGAGCCCCAGTGAAAGCATCACTTAAGGAATGAATGAATTCATTGTTTCGTTGCGATGGGGTGAAGGAAGGAGGAAAGTGGCTTGTTTTAAAAGAGAGAATACTGAACAGATAAGAACAGAAAAGTAGATGTACATGGATGGAAGTACACAAAGTGTCATTCACTCAGCTACTTTTGAGGGGACACCAGTGACAGTCCTTGCCGACTTGGTGGCCAACAGAAGATAAGAAAAAAATTTATTTTTCCCCCAAACTATTGTATTTTTATTCAGAACAAAGTGTAGTAAAATGAAATGGATAGGCAAGTACATTATACAGCAGTCCCGAGAGTATGAGGGGGAAAACCTGCAACATATAACAAAACCTGTACAGTATATATTAAAACTGATTGTAAAAAGAATCAAAATACACAAATCGGAGAAAAAAATTAAATTGAAAAATGCATGAAATCTTGCAGTTTCAGTTTTCTCCATTTTCATATTTCATATTTAAAGAATTTTAGCTATAAATCTTAGTTTAGTGTTACAAAAATGCTTCTAAATGTTTTTTTTAAATGGTTCTTGATTTGAATATAAAAGATTTCTAAAATAATTACTACGTGTTTCTGATTTTCTGAAACATATGGGCTTTCTAAACAAAATATATAAACATGGTTATAAATTCAAAGTTTGAAGTTTAACACTTGTTTGCCTAGAATTATGCAACCTAATCATACTTTATTTATTTATTTGTATGTAATGTGCATTCAAAATCCACTTTGCTGAAAACTCATGATATGCATCAGCAAACTGGATGTGCAAGAACAGAGAGATGGGTGTGGTATGTAATCTCATACGTAAATGGAAAAAAGAGACAAATAGGGAGAGAGAACTACTTCGAAAAATGGGGAGATCATGAAATGGCAAAAAGCAGACAGATGCAGAGATGAAGATACTGGGTGGGAAAGTTGGGTCAGATTCATGATGAGAGGAATGCTGATAAAAATAAAAATGAGTTCTAATGACTGGAATCCTTCTGTCAATAAGACCCTAGAGAAATAGGTGTGACACTGCTAAGCAAAAGGAGGGGCTACAAGCACATAATGTAGTGCATGAACTTATGTCCTACAGGAATTACATACGTACCTGTGTGTGTGTGTGTGTGTGTGTGTGTGTGTGTGTGTGGGAGAGAGACAGATTGTGGGTGGTTGAGTGGGAGGGGCAGAAGGAGAGAAGGAAGATTGTTAGAGAAAGACATGCATGTGAGACGACAGGAGATGGGAAAGTGAAGGAAATTATGGGGAGAACAAGACTTGACAATTCATAACAATCATAGCCATATTAAATAGAAAATTTCAACACCGTTCCAGTATGTCCTCCCTATGATGTACATAAATTCAATACACAGGTTTGGAGTGGTAACATATTCCAATCAGACTGATATTTTGAGTGGCTTGTTTGTTAATCTATCACAGCAGGGATGCTGTAAACTGAGCCAGTTGCTGCCTGTGTTGTCATTTGTTCCATATGCAGCAGTGATGCTGATATGAAGAGAACAGTCACAAATAGGAAGGATAAATCTGGATGAGTAACTGGGATGTGAGAGATGGGAACACTTAGTTGGACGAAAACAGGGAGTGAACGGGGAAAGAGAGAAAGAAGGAAAGAGGGTAGGATGATGACAGCCCCTGGCTCCGCTCCATTGCTGACGAAAGCTGCTTAGACCTTCAGTTGCCATGGTGACCAGAGGAGGAGAGAGAAAGAGAGGGAGAGGGAGGGCGGAGGCTAGGGAGGGAGGAACAGCAGAGAGAGAGAAAGAGGGAGTGCTTTAAAAAGAGCAATAGACAGAGGGAGGGAACGAGAGTGGAGACGGAGATAGATACACATTGCTAGCAAAAACAGTCTACAAAAATATAAAGAGAAAAGGTATTTTATTTATTCTCATTAGAGTTGTATTTCATTCATCTGAGCGTGAGATTACAAAGAGGGGACGTGTGAAGGTAGACTGAGACATCAAGACGAAGGTAAAGAGACACTGCAGTGGAGCGGGAATATGGATGCACAGTCTGAGAGCTGTGAACCACCGCCATGTGAC